AACCCAGAAATTAGTGACCTGATCCCTTATCTTATTTAGGTTTATTCTTAATTTGATGAGGGAGTGAACTGGTGTAACCCGGTCAATTCGTATTCAATCTGGTATAACTCGGATAACCCGGTGGGTTGACTGGGTTAACCGGGTTATTATATTTTTAGACTTTTACCCCCAAAACGACATCATTTTTTTTTCATTTTTAATTTTTCAGAATTCTGAATTTAGAAATAAGATAACAAAAAAAGTGAAATTGAAGTCAAAAAATGAAAAATTAGAAGCAAAGCATGTTAAGTTTTAAAATATAGTATTTTATTATCGTTAGACTTTTGAATAGTTGGATTTGGTTAAATATTTTTATAATTAATGTCTTTTTATTTAAATTGTATTATTTTAATCATGACCGGTTTGCCACCGATTCAACCTCCGGTTTAACTCCGATTGAACCACTAACCCGTGATTCAATATCATGATCGGTTTAATGATCGATTCGGTTTTACGCACCTTGATAAAGAATGATGAATTGGGAAAGGACCGAGAACCCAGAGATATAGCTGGGAATACGGGCGGGCTCGGCCCTTAAGGGCTTGGCCCTTATGGGCTCGGCCCTTTAGGGCCTGAGCCCTAAAGCCCGGTTTTCTATTTTGACCCCCATTTCTCAAGCCCAACCCTTATACTCAGGGCTCAGGGCCAGGCCCGTAAGCCCTTTCTTAAAAATAAAAAAATTAAAATAAAATTAAACATTATAAATAAATTAAAATATTTTAAAATTAAAAAAATTAAAATCATCATAATTTTTTAAAAATTAAATAACATTCATTAGAAGTCTAGTAATAAAATTTAAATCTTCATTTAAAAAATAGTTCATTTTTTTTATAAATATACAAACATAATAATTATAAAAAAATAAAAAATATCATAAATTTTATACTATACACTGATATTTATTAAATTAGATTAAATTAATTTTAGAATAAATTAAAATTAATAATAATATAATGTGTGTAGGATCAGGTGAGCAGGTCATTGATTTCAAATACGTGTTTTACTAAAATAATAATAATAAAAATAATATAACAGGGCTTAAAGGGCAGCCCAGGCCCGAGCCCTATTTTACAGGGCTTATCAGGGTCAAGCCCTCAAGCCCGATTATTTTAAAAAAATTTATTTTTAAAGCCCGAACCCTTATTTAAACAGGATTTTCAGGCCTGACCCTCCAGACTCAACCCTTATTCCCGACTCTACCCAGAGACGACACGCACACGATGCTTCGCAAATCGTTGAGGGCCACGAGTGCAGGGTACAGCCATTGCCTTGAGAAGCACCAGACAGACAGCCCTTCAACTTTATTCTCCCACCGTTTCGGCCCCGTGACCCAGTGCTTCTAAGACGGGATATGCCTCGGCCCAAATTACCAGTTCCAGGCCCACTGCATTTAGTTCTCCCTAATGGAAGCCGAGTTCGTTTAATTTGACTATTTTAACATGGGCTTTGGAAACGCGAGAATAACAATAATGAAATTGAGATTTATTAAATTAAAGGCTATAGACGCGGGCAGAAAATCTTCACTTCGATCCAATTCCAAATGCCATGTCGCGCTCATCGCTTCCAGCCTTCCACTTGTCTAAGGTACTCGCTTTCAGTATTTGTCTCCTGGTCTTTTTTGTCCGTACGAATTCAGTGTGTGAATTCCTTTTTAATATTTCCGTCGTTTACTTTGACTTATGTTCTTATCGAAACACCTGTTATCTATCTGAATAAAACGCGACACGGACATTCCATTCCCATTTTAAAAGTACAGAATGCAGCCACATCTTCGAACAAGTGAATTGAATCCAAGTCGCTCCCACCTTAAAACAATAATTTACCGTACGTGCAGTGTCCAAGTCCCAGACGAAACAACGCTGTAAAAGAGTTCTTCTTTGACAAGGCTATTCATAACTCCAAACTAGCGCTCGTCATTGGAGTTGAAAACGAAGCACGGGCTTACCTGTAACTTGATATTGTAAATCCAACTGACTAAAGAAACAGCAACGATACTTGTGTACGAATAGAACTGCGGAATTGGTATTGCTATATTGCTGTTGAGTTGGTTTGGGCGCGGTGGTGTGGAATGTCAATAAGCGATAGCTTTTCCGGATTAAGGAGGGCCACTTTAATTTGTGAGTTACGGACTAGCTTTAAAGAAGGTCGTGTTGTTAACTTGTTATCTCATGGCACAGAGGTATCAAACCACCTCACCAAAACACAATTTTGTTGATTGGGCAGATATTACGTAATTTTCATTCATTTCCTTAATCTGACTAGTTTAAACTCCCCAGCATTCCTCCTCCTCGTATATATATTCCCCTATAAATAGTTTGTTGGCATTAATTTGACATATACTTCTGTCATTTTTTTTAAAAGCACTCATAATTCATAAAATTTGTTGTTCAGACGCATATCATATTTTTTTGGCTTGAATGAATAATATATATCTTACTTAAAAATTTGACAATGATTGATTATGGGGATCCCTTGGATGATTAAAAAAAAACTAACGATACTTCAAGTAAGCAAGCTATGTTGTTCGAAAGATTCAATAATTTAACTGCTATACTTACTGGATTTGATGCTTAAATTTAGTGAGTTATTTACACTTTCTAATGGATTTGTCAACTTGTTGATCATGGAATTCTTTCAAGCCACTTGTCTTTGAACTGGATTTACAAAAGTTAATTTTGAAAGGACCACTTTAACACCAAGACTGGTGATGTAATTTCATAAACATCTCTTCTCTACATATTTGAATTGGGTGAATGTCCCAAATCATCTAGTCTAGTTAATGCCTCCCATTATACAATAGAAATCATTAATTCAATCAAATGATTGTTAGAGATGTTGGCACAAAATCACAACCCTATTACTCTCGTGCTTTATAATCCAACAACTTCTAAGTATACAAATAAATGGTTGAAATATATCTTCATGAAAGCTGTCTTTTACATCAGAGTTTCAATTATTTCTAATAGTCAAGTATGAATTCCTACACCTACGGTATGAGTGTTCACCTCCCTTGATGCAAATACATGGCAGGATGATCTGATCTTTTTCACTTTTTAGTGTTTAACATTGGATGTACAATACTCTTAATTCGTAAACTACAATGTTTTTATTATTTACTATAATTACAATAATATGATTTGATTTGATTTTTCTCTACAAATGAAATATTAGTGTAATATGAAATTTTCAATAGAACAACGAGAAGGTATATCATATAGTATTTATTTACATTGATACTTCCTCTTATCCTATTTATGGGGCAAAGAAATAAAATTTTTTTGTCCTATTTATAAATTACCTCATTTAATTTTCATTATAAATTTTCTTATTTGCTTTTTATTGAATGTTGAAAAGAGAAAATATTTTATTAAAGTAAGTATGTTTAATAGAGATAAAGTTAAAAAATTATTAAATTTTTAGACAAAATTAATGAGTTTTAAGATTTTTTTTTATTCTAATGAAATATGACAAAAATAATTTATAAATATGATAAAAATTGAGTATTTGAGAGATACTCCCTCCGTTTTTATTTATATGAGAAACTGTTACTTTTAATTTATTTTTTTATATAAATAAAATTACATTTTTTAATAGGCATTTATTATAAACTTTTTAAATTACCCCTCATAATTTTATTATTTACAATCAAAAGAAGCAACTAATAAATGTTTGATTAATACAATTAATAAAAAATATTATAATTCAATTCTTTTATTTTGAAACACAATTAATATAGTTAATTAATTTTTTTAAATTATATGATATAATTTTTTTTAAAAAAATAGAAATGGATGGAGTATATCAAGCCCGGCCGACATTAGTATGACTTTGCGTTGTGCCGTTCAAATTTGTGTCCAATTGAGCCAATGTCGTCTCCGATATAAATTTCTTTTTAATTTGTAGTCCAGTTAAAGATGGATTAGCAAGTTATAGTATTAAATTGCATTTAATGAATTTTCACTTCAAAATTAATATTTATTTTGAAATATAAGGGAGATTTCTTCAAATAAGTCCTGAATTTAGAAAAATACAATTAGATTTCTTGAAACTTGGTGTAATCAAAATCTTAGATGAAAATACCTTAATGCCCCTATTTACTGAAAAAAAAAACCAATAAATTGAAGTTAAATACTCACATTTACCTTACACTTTATATTTTATATTTTATAAATAATTATTAATTATAAGTAAAAATTATTAATTCACAAGTCATATTTTATATTTTATAAATAATAGATCGAAATCATGTTTACTCTTTACTTGCAATTACAACATCATAATTTAGAAGTAGAAATTTTTGATACATAAGTCATGTTTCATGTTTTATAAATACAAATTTATCTTTTTTTATATATAATTTGATGTATTTTAATAAGGATAGTATTATTTTTACTCCTCAACTACAAATTACACCTAAGTTTTAAAAAATTTGATTGTAGTTTTTAAATTTTACAAAATGTATTTATCCATAAGTCACTTATAAAAGACTTATGTATAATTTTTTCATTTATTTTTAATACACGGTACATTTTTTTCCCATCAGTTATTAACGAATTTTTTTTTTCTTCAGGTCATAAAATAATTTTGCGATGACGTAGTAAGGTGTTATAGTAGCTTTTATGATTACAGAAAATTAATGAATTAATTAAATATTATTGAAAAACTAACAAATTAGGCACTTCTTCAGCTACATAGAGGGGAAGCTGGAGAGGAAGCTGCTGTGAATGATATTTTGGAGTCATTTTCAGAAAACTGAATGAGAAAATTCAGAGGACTAGGCCTTTTCGCAGCTCTTTGAATACAAAGATATGGTCAGACACACACAACACACACCCCCACACGATACAGAGTCCTGGTCTCTGTCTTCTCACTTCCCCCTTAAAATCCCGCGTCAGTCTTCCCCACTGCATCCGATCTCTAAACTCCATCGCGATCTTCTTCCTTCTCTTCACAACCCCCTCATGTCGTCCTCATTCCCATCCTGCTTTCGTCCTCCCCATACTTCCGATGAAACTCCTCCGCCTCCTCCTTCCCTCTCCACCACCTATCTCTATCGCACCCACCTCGGCCTTGTTTCCCTCACTTGGTCTCGCTCCGTTCTCGGTCGTTCCCTCCATCTTCAGCTTCATTACCACATCCCCCAACTTCATCCTTCTTCTTCTTCTTCTTTTGCTTCCTTTCACCTGCACATCAAGCCCTTCTTCTTCTGCAACAAGCACGGAGTCAAGAGGATTTCCCCCAATACCCGCATCTTTTGGAATATTTCCAAAGCCAGATTTGGGGCCGCGCCTGAACCTCTTTCTGGTTTCTTTGTTGCCGTCGTCGTCGACAAGAACATGGTCCTTCTTGTTGGCGATGCCGTTAAGGACGCGTATTCGAGGACTAGAGTACTCGAGCCCCTGACTCCTCAGATTCTTCTTCTGAAAAGGGAGCATGTCGTCGCCAATAAAGTTTGCTCCGCGAAGGCGAAATTCGGAGGCAGAATGAGAGACATACAGATCGATTGCGTTTACGGAGACGATTCGAGGCTCTGCTTCAGCGTCGATGCCCAAAAGGTCCTGCAGATTAAGCACTTGAAGTGGAAATTTCGAGGGAATGAGAGGGTGGAAGTCGATGGGGTTCCCATTCAAATCTCGTGGGACGTCTATAACTGGCTGTTCGAGAAAGACAACGGCGATAGGCATGCGATTTTCATGTTCAAATTCGAAGAAGAAGAAGAAGAAGAAGATGATGATGATGATGATAAAGCTCGAGGCAAGGAAATTGGGGACAGGAAGCTGACGAATTTGTGGACGCAGCAGCAAAACTGGAGTGGATCCAACGAATTGGGGAAGACCTTATCGTCGTCGTCGGCGTCAACGTCGTCGTCGGCGAGGTCTTTGGGTGCCAGTTCCTCAGTGCTGGAATGGTCGAGCGTGGAGGAGAATGAATTGGTGGTTCCTGTTGGCTTTTCTTTGCTTATTTACGCCTGGAAAAGTTGAACATTGTCGTAGGTTCTCTTTCTTGTCCGCCATAAATACGGCCACTGACTTTTCTAACTAATCACATTTATTTGGTGAACGTACACAGTTCAATAAATCTCCTTAGAAGCATGAAAGAAAAATCTTTCTGCAGATTCTTGTTCCATTTCCTTTCTGCACACTCGCTGTAATTCATCCATAGTTTCTTACTTTATGCATTCATCATGTTGTGAGACTGAGAAGCAATTTTGGTTAAGCTGAACGGAACTGAACTTATTGCTCACAATTTGTTGCCTGTCTTAACGATTGGAATGATAATCCAAAATGTTCAATCTACCGTCGACATAGTGACTTTTTCATCGGACTAATTTGGCAACTATCGTCTGTTGAGAACGGTACAAAGCTTCCATTAAGTTGACCCGGTCTACTGAGTTGAATTCAACAATTGATATTTTTGGACAGCGCTACAACTTGGTGTTTTTCATATTCACCGTCTCAAGGGATATTACTAGTTCACGTTGCTGACGAGAACGATACAAAGGCGCAAGTTCCAAATGGTAGGCTCATGGAAGCAGATTGTAATGAGCAAGTTAAAAGGAGAAATCATCTTAAAAAACTAATTTGATAGAGTGTTCTTCAAACTTAAATTTTTGACGGCTCTTTGTCACGGATGATATTTTCGTGACCGTGTAAAGACCAAGATAATGAACGATTCGCTGGTTAGTCTCACACAATATGGGTAAAGGGGGTGACATTAGCATTGAGGGTGTTCTGCCTCAGTCTTCGGGCTGAGTGCACAACTGGTCGGGGGGCTAGTGCCGCCTCCCTGATGAGCCCATGGCAGGGCGAAACCAGTGTGATCCGTATGTGGTAAGGCTTGTCCTGAGGATTATGGGGTCCTCCAGAACGCCGCACGGGTGCAGTGTGCTGCGCCAGACTCTCAGCCCGTGACAGAGTGGTATCAGAACAGGACGTACTTTACTGTCGTGTGCCTGTGGGGTCCTATGTTGGGACTGGTCGACCTCGGCACCGCTCTAGAAAGGCCTCCGAGCATGTGGGTCCAAAAGTGGGGATTCGGGCGAGAAGTTTGGCCGTTGTCGACTCCACTCCTGTTGGCTCGCGGGTCCGAAGAGTGCAGGAATCGGGTGACCACTCAGCAGTAAGCTGATGTGTTTGTGGCAGTACTGTATGTACGATCCTTGGGCGGAGTCTTTCTCTCCTAACACGAGGGCGTGCTAGATTGGGTGTGGGAGAATGTCACGGATGATATGTCCGTGACCGTGTAAAGACCAAGATAATGAACGATCCGCTGGTTAGCCTCGCACAATATGGGTAAAGGGGGTGACATTAGCATTGGGAGTGTTCTGCCTCAATCTTCGGGCTGAGTGCACAACTGGTCGGGGAGCTAGTGCCACCTCCCTGATGAGCCCATGGCAGGGCGAAATCAGTGTGATCCGTATGTGGTAAGGCTTGTCCTGAGAATTATGGGGTCCTCCAGGACGCCGCACGGGCGCCGTGTGCTGCGCCAGACTCTCAGCCTGTGACATCCTGCTCTATAGCATTTTATTCAATCGTGGTTGGTTAGAATCATTTATGGGAGGCTCTCTCTAAGACTATAAGCCCAAAGGAAGTAGCATCACTTCTTAATAAACTAACTTGTTAAGTGGGATAGTCTTTTAAACTTATAAGCCTCACTGCATTTGCGAGGCTTCCACAATGTCACCTCGTTAAGAGCCAGCATTTTCGGTGGCTCCACTTTACAACAATTCACTTGACCTCTTGCCTGTCAAAAGCCTATGTGAGAGTACCATTTAAACTTATAAACCTTACTCCATTTATAAGACTTTTTGATAGGAAACTCGTGACAATGTCACCCAATTAAAAGCCAACATCCTCGGTGGCACCACTCCTTGGGTAGCCGTGCCCTTTTCGTGCCACTAATCTTTCAATGAAAGTAATAATATAGCGAGCAAAAATTTAAAGAAACAGTTCATCCCAAAAGACTAACTTAATAAGAGTGTCTCCAAGTGCATACAAAGCAATGATTAAAAAACCAAATGGTCGGGTCGACTAGTCAAGCTAATGACTTGGTTGAGTTGAAAAAAAATTTTGGAGAGTTGAGCCAGATTGGAACGCTTTGAATTGGCGCTCAAATTAGAAACTGGGATTAAGCCAAAAACCATATTCAATTTTCAAAAGCCGGAGTGTTAAAAAAAATCCTTTTTTCAATTTTTTTTTAAAAATAACTAATTTTTTAATCATTTAATGTTATGTTGTACAATATAACTTGTTAAATCATAATAAATTTAAAATATTTAATTTTATTTTTAGATTAAGTAGCAATTTTATATTTATTTTTTTATATGTAGATGATTATATATATATAATTTGTTTTAATTTAATTATTATATTATCAATTTGATCATTAATCCAACTTGATTGAATCATATAAATCATGAGCCGTTAATTTTTTCAATTTAATATCCAATTTGATTGTAAAAATATTGATATAAAGAGGTCAAATGTTTTGCATTGAAGGTGGAAGCAGGTAAGAAAGGGCATGGTGTTTGGTCTCAGGTAATGGATGAGACATAAGCAACGAAGAAAGCGTCCATCAGTCATGGCGTTCGGTGACTAGAAATGATGGTGCGAGCGAGACATGATTCGGGTTTCCGATAAACAATTAAATTGAGGGGTTTTTCTCTGCCTAATTTGTTTTAAGCTTAGCCAATTATCCCTGTACTATACAAAACGTTCGGTTGCAGATTTTGTCCATACAAAAAATATGACTGCATTTTTACGACAATCAAAAGGATCGGTTTTACAGTCAAAGCAGAGTGGGTTCTTGTTTAAGATCTCCCCTGGGATTTCAGGTGTTCCAATCCTGCCACCCCTAACTGTATAATTATAGATATTCATTTGTCAGTAAGTATAGTAACCATTATTTACACTTGCTTGGTGGTCGACAAACGGAGCAGTGATATTTGAGAGTGGGAATTTGTAAACACGAGAGGTCTGACATTACATCATTTATTGGCTTCCAACTTAGCTGTTACGCCACGAGCGACACGCCCCGTTTCTTTAACGTTTCTTCGTTTTTGATGCGCAAATCCCACGTGTCGTTGAAGCCACTGGAAGCACCGTCAACGATATTAACCACGTTCTCTTCTATTTTTTAATTTTATTCCTACAGACTTTGATTCGTCTTTCGTGACTGGAACCGCTTTTCGTTGGGCCTTTTCAAGCATGCCATTCATCACCGCTCAACAAAACTAGAGGCATGATGTAAACGTGAATTGATCATAACCACATGTATGTAACTCCCTAGAGAACCCAAGAGCACAGTGGCATCAAAAAGTTGGGCTAAACGAAAGAAAATAGGAATAGGCCTTACAAGCGGGTTGGTTCTTGGTAGGTCGAACTCCGAACCGAATATATTGCAGGATTGGTTCCGTAGTCACTCAGTACTTAAATACAGGACATTGGCTTTCCATCAAAAAATAAAGGGCACTGGGCACTGGCTCATGAAATTTCATGCTAACTGTAGGCTTTATACCCCTCTCGATAACATCTTTCTTTTAAAATTGCTACCTTGAATTGTACAGTTCAGCAAACTTAGTGGTCACATGATATTGTGCACATCTTGAAAAAAAAAAAAAAACGTAGAGAACAGAGACCTATGCATTTGCCGGAGGGCAGCATTTAAGAGGGAAGGGCAGGGAGGGAGGGAGGGAGGGAGAGATCAATTCCCTAGTAGCTATTGGCATACTATGAATATACAATTGAACATAGAGATGAAGCAGACATAAAAAGTTGCTTTTCTGTTCAGCCTTGGATGCTTGCATATTTTAAGACCCTATTAAGTTTCAGAACCCGACTCCTGTCAAAGCTTTTCCTTACTTGATTGTTAATCAAGGGGTTGAAGAACCGTTAATCGAAGATGAAGATGGAGGGATACAACGTCTTTGGCTACCGCTATTAGCTGGTGCACCTCAAGACAATTGCGCTTTAGAGGAAGCCTCGTATCTTCTAGAAGAATGGCTTTTCAGTTTCTTTCTTTCTGCTTCGGAGGCCCCATTATCAGATGAGACAGCTCGAATCTTCGTTTCACTTAGTTCAGGTGGAAGAACGCAGTTGCACAGTAAGCCTACATATTCAGAAACACATGTTATAATCATAAGGCCCTTGGAAAAGGGGAGGGAGTCCCTCGTGAACTTAATGTTCTAATGTTTGCAAGTCCAACGGAACATCAGGAAAGTTGCATGTGCTCCTAGATAGTACAGATGAATCGAGAAAAGTATCTTGCAATTCAACATTTCAATGAAGCTGGCTGAATAGCTCTGTTCTCGATTCATGCAATGGAATCCAATGCCAGAGTGGCAGGTATACTCTGATGAAAACAATTATTTCCAGATAATCCCAAGAATTTTGGGCTCTTCAATTAAACATCAACTTTAAAAATTTCACCCGCCCAGTTATTCGATTCCAATAAAAGTAACGAAAATGCAACATGCGGCAATACAAACCAGAAGGTTGTAATGGATCCTGGAGCTGATACAAAACAAGCTAATGAACATTCAAAGCAAACAAAGAAAAAGAAGCAAATAATCAAAACGAGAAAAGCAAAAGCAAGAAAAAAAAAAAAACGATTGAGAGATGCATAATTGGATCAGCAGCATATCAGAGAGTTCAGCAACTACATTTAATAATTTATCACACAAAAAAAAGCTTCATCTTCCCAAAGGAAAAATGTATGTTCTTCTATCTGCTTAGAAAATCATCTCAAGATATGAGTGGAAAAGCAATGCATATACTATAAAAAGGGTGGAAGATAATATCTAATCTAAATAAACTTAGGTCTATTTCTTACCAAGTCGAGCAAGTCGATTTACCCAGCGAGGGATTGACTTGTTAGTTAGTTTGAGACAAACATCATTGCAAAAGTGGTTGCAGTTTTTTGTGATAAGATGATATGAATTCCCTGCATAATCATCGGCTATCGACTCCATATATGCCCGAAC